TGTGGACATAGCCGTAAGATAACGTCTGTTTTAAAAAAATACTTTCCCCCTTTGCCTTAATGTTTTTAGAGTTTCTAAAATCTTTATAAAGAATCTCAAGGTAGTAGGGGGTTGTTCTGGGGAATATCCTCAATCCCCAGGACCCCTTACCCACCCACAACACTTCACGTTGACCTCAATTCAGCTCAGGAGTGCTGCGGGATTATGATTTATGAGCATACACTGCTGCCTGCAAAGACTGTAAAGCAGGAAATGATTTGTGTTTGAGGCTAGAAGTTTACTTCTTGGAATTATTTTAAATGGGCAGAGAGGGAGGCTGCTAAAAATGTTCTAAAGCTGAAATATGAGTTGGGGCGAGGAGCAGACCAAGAAAAATGATCTGTGGCACTGAGTGAAGTCCATCTCCAAGTTTGAAGGTGGGGGGACCAGCACCCCCCGGGAACTGTCCAAGGGCAAGGTGGTTAAACTGAAAGCTTCCTGTCATGAATGAGAGCTTCGAGTAAGTCAGGCCAAGACGAGCAGCTCCACAGGCAGCTTCCCGGAAGGTCTGAGGGGATCGAGGCTAGCCCTTCGTCCCTGGCCATCTCCGAACCCTCACTTCAGATCCCAAGAGGCCTGGCTGATATTCCATGCCTATGAAATCTCCGATCTTTACAATAAATCCAGCCACATCTCCCTTTCTCTGAGCTAGCTGGAAAGGCTCTTTTTTCTCGTGCCCAGAAAAAGTTTCCCAGGACTGGGGGACTCGAGATAAATAGAGAATTTCAGTACAGTGTGGTGCACTCAACTGTCCCACAGGCATCTGTTTGATGTGCCCGGACACTTTTCTCCTTGGCTACTCCACATGTGTGAATGAATAATTTTGTCTGCCATACCAGTAAACAAAGGATGCTGCAGCCATCAAGGCATCAGCCACTACCATCCCCCCGCCCCCCTCAGTCGACAGTGAACCAGAGGGAACTCAGGATGGAGACAAGTGGGCTGCCTGGCCTCGGCAGCCATCCCCAAAGTGCACCCCGAGGACACTCAGGACAGGAAGCACAGGAGACTGGCCCAAGATGGCTAGATGGGTATCAAAGGAATGATTTCAATGAGCCCAGACTTTTGCATCTCCTCATACACAGAAAAGCACTAGAATCATTAACCTGAGATACCTGGTTTTCTTAATTAACAGTAATCTTTTGAAGTTCTGACTACTTGGTCTTTGCTACAAAAACTCATCTATCCTGGCGCCCCTCCACCGCCCACCTCTTGGGCACAGTCTCTTAGAGCGATCTGAGAGGTCACATTCTGGGCTTGAAATCCTCAGTAAGTCCGCCAAATAAAACATAATTCTCAACTTTTACACTGTGCATTTTTTTCAGTCGATGCATGGAAACTGAGCATGAAACAGAATAAGAAACGAAACTAAAGATCAGCTCTAAGTATATAGTCACTAACATTTTCAGAACAACTGGGGCCTGTAGAGGTCCCAAGGTGACAATATAACTATACCTTTTATTTATTATTTCTCAGAGTTTGAGAAGAAAAAAATATCCAGAATGTCCATGTACGTGGTATGTGCAGTAGTAAACAGAGACCAGATGTACTCAAATTGCTCATTTTATCCGAATGTTAAAAAAGTCAAATAATTACATAAATTGTGTGCCTATTTAGAGTAGCAACAGTAGGGTGATTCTAAACTCAACAATTTCTAGAAAGCCAAAAACGTGTTCCTTACTATTCTACTATTGTACATCATGAAAGTATTCTATTTTTTTAATTTATTTTTTGTTGTAGTTGATTTATAATGTTGTGTTAGTTTCAGGTATACAGCAAAATAATTCAGAGATATATATATGTTTATACATGTGTCTATACACATATATATATTCTTTTTCAGAATCTTCTGCATTGTAGGCTATTACAAGATATTGAATATAGTTCCCTGTGCTCTACTGTAGGACCTTGTTGTTTATCTATTTTATATACAGTAGTATGTATCTGTTAACCCCAAACTCCTAATTTATCCCTCTCCTCTCCCATGAAAGTATTTTAAATAAAATAGTTTAAATGATTAAGAAAGGGAAACTACTTCCAAAATAAAATAAACTCCTCTTTGAGTATAAATTATTTCAATTTAAACTATGCTTTTAAAAAGAATATTATATAATTGTTAGGGGAAATATGAAATTGGGATATGTGAGCCCATATTATGCTTGATCTAGTTGTTACCAGACAAAAATCATTGCCTTGTTTCTATTTCAGTGAAGGTTCTAAATTCACAGAAACTTAGAAACATGCTGTTTCCATAGCATCAGATAAAGGGTAAAACGAACAAGATTTTATTGATTTTAACAAGGCTTAAAAAATTTGTTCTTATTTTTAGCAGTGATTTTTGCTCTTTTTTTTTCAGTCTTTAGCAACATCTCATATTCTCTTTTCTAAATGTATTTGGTAAGTCATATAAATTTTGAAAGTAAGATAATTGTGACATTATTGTAAAGTTACACATTCTTACAGTAATGTAGAATACCTGATATTTAATTCTTAATGTAAAAGAGATGCTAAACAGTAAAGTCAAGATCAGATATCAAAGACCCTAACTACACATAATGTCAGCTTAACATATGAATAAAATATAACATTCTATTACAAACACTTTTAGATAATTCATTAATGATTAAAAAGCATGGTGTAATATTTGCTGTTACTGTTAATTTATGAGGATTCAGACCCTTGGAATCAGGCTTTTAATCACAAATGTTATAGCTACAAAACGCAAGTTTCTTCATGGTAAATGTGGCTCCATGACAGTGAATAACTGAGGTTAGTAGTACAATTGTTCCAAGTTAACGTGCTAAGAAAACAGGAAACAGACCTTCTTTCGTGCATGTGTTCTGAGCTCTTAAAATGTCTATTTGACGAAGCACAGAAAAATGGCTCACCTGTAACAGACATACAGCCTAACGGAGCGATCAGAGTGATGGGGGCAAATCCATAGGCTGCAAAGTTTCCTGTCTCTCCCACAGCCATCAGTACGACCCCACCCCACCACAGCACGCTCTTGAAGCACGGCTGTGGGTGTTCTTGGTGTGCCAATCGAAGATGAGAATATTTCTGTAAGTATATCAGAATGTAAATAAGAAAATATTTCCACCCGACTAAAATCTGCCTTGAAATTTTTGGTACTATAAAATTGCTTCATGGTTTTAAAATTTATTTGCAGATTACTATAGAGCAATTATTATGGTTTTGTTTGTTCCAAACACATTAACAGAAGTGACTCATAATGATATAGCATCTTACAGTTTAGAGGGCCTTCTCACATATAAATGTTATTTAATGCCATCACAACTCTGTGAAATAAATATCATTACTATCTAAAGATGAGGTGTATGTTAAGGAGTTAAGTGACTTTTTAGTCCATCAAACCAAAACACTTCTTTTAGACTGTCAAAAAGAGTCCAGGTGCCAAAATAAACATTATTGAAATAAAGATAATAAATTAGTAAAAACACACTTTTGGGAAAGGGATTCGAACTTATGAGTCAAAGTAGCTACCACAATAAACGTAACAGGGCAGAATGCTTTGACAGCAGGGAGTCAGGATGGGAGAACTCTTATTTATATCTGGTTTGATTATTTCTTTGTATTTGAAACATATAAATACCTGAAAAACTAGCCATTAAATAAAACCCTAATTCCCTATTGATTTTATGGTAACTGAACTTATTTCCTTATAAGAAGCAGGTACCATTATAGATTAAAAATTTCCCTTAAAAATTTTAGAAGTTATTTAGGAAATAATAAAAGCATGAGAAGCCAATGTAGAACATTTAAAAAAATCTTGGCTTCTGCCAAGATTATGAATATCTATCTAAATGTAGTACAAACTCACAGGCATTTTGTCTAAGTACACAATACTATTAAGTGGACTATAAAACATTTAATTCTTTAAAAATCAGAAGAATAAAAACATGGATACAATCCAGCCTGGATTATTCTTGTCTTTATATCAACAAGATCATAAAATATATTTTTTATGGAAGAGGGAGTCCAAGAAGGCAAATGTGCCTGAGGCTCATTAAAGTCATAATGTGTCCCTGGATATAACTACAGAGTTTGAAAAACAAGATTCTTCTTACCTGAATATTTAGGGAAATGCTGATTACCAAGTTTCCTAAAATGGCCAGCAAAACTCCAAAAAGGTGAATCTATAAAAGAAAATGTTTTCTTTAAATGGTACTTTAAATAACATTTATAAGATATTTACCAAAAAAACTACAAAAAATTTAAGTTGATACATTCATACAGCAAATATTTACTTAGTACCCATCTGCCAGGGTCATTTGGAATATGAATAATGGTTTTATTAGGATTAATTTGAACTTTAATGACATATTTTTTAGAATTAGCTCAGTTCTTTACTGAATTCTCTAGATATTTGCCTCATTCATTAAAATAAGAAAATAGTTATCGGGTTGTAACTTTTTCCCACTAAGATACCTCTTGTTTACCCTTTCTGTCAATTTTCCTCAGCAGCTCCTCTGATTGGAATGTTCATTGCCTCAAACATGGACTATATAATCTCTCTCCATCTGTTCTCCCTCTTTTCTTTCTCTTAATATTTTCTGGAAGACTGTGGTATTAAAGAAAGATCACTGGCCTTGGGGTTAAAGGATGAATCTGTAATTCAAATCTGCAGTTGTCTAATGGGTGACCTTGAGCAAGTTATTTCAGCTCCCTGGCCTCAGTAAACAGGGGATGTTGGATAAGATATTTCCAGAAATCCCTTTCTCTCTAAAGTCCTATGAGTCCCACTGGAGACAGGCTAAATTTTCCCACCACTCAAGAGCCCACAATGCCTGTCTACAGTCAACTACATCAAATAGAAAACTACTATACCAGCTCCGCATAATTGGTCCTCATTCTAACTATCCATTTGTCCCTAGCACACTTTTTTTTTACATATACATACATAAACATATATATTTTCAAATTCTTTTCCATTATAGCTCATTACAAGAAACTGAATACAGTTCCCTGTATACAGTAGGTTCTGTTGTTTATCTATTTTACATATAGTAATGTGTATCTGTTAATCCCAAACCCCTCATCTATCCTTCCCCCTGTCCATGACACACTGAAGGTGCTCCCTCTACCTCAGGCACCTGGCCCATCACATTCTCCAGGCAGATGTCATACTCTTGCTCATGTCATACCTCCCACCTCAACAGAGCATCTCCTTCCCTCAGCCCATTCAAATCATAGCGCACCATCCCGGCCATCTGAGCTCTGCCTTCTTGTGACCCTCTCAAACACCATAGCCCATCTTCACTTTCTCAGACTCTAAATGGTGAACATCCCTTATTTATTCTTTTATTTCATCATTATATCATTATGCTCTACAAATAGATGGTAAATTCTCGGAGGGAAGAGATTCATGTCTTAGACTTCCATTGGGTCTTCTACTATACAAAATTAGGGGCTTAAAAAATAACTTGCTTGAAAAAGTATATAATGGTTTAAAACAATAACTGTAGAGGCGAGGGGAAGGATATAGCTCAGTGGTAGAGCGCATGCTTAGCATGCACGAGGTCCTGAGTTCAGTCTCCAGTACTTCCACTAAAACTAAATAAACCTAATTACCCCCCTAAAATTTTTTTAAAAAATAAATAAAATTTTAAAATAAGTAAAATAAATTTTAAAAACATTTAAAAAAGAACTACAGGTTAAAAAAGAAGTTCTCACACATTGCCCAAGATGGTTACTAAGATAGCACATGTACTATCCAATGACTTCAAAAGACACACATGCTGCTCCTATCTAGGTACAAAGGTATACTATCTTCTAGCAGTATAAATTAGCAGTGATAGACGAGATCGTCCCCCTTCTCCTACATACATAACTTTAGCTAGTTTCAAATTCCAGGCAGTTATTTGAATTTCAAATGAACATTACATCCACAAAGAACCCTTTTCAGTATGCAAACTGTCTTTGAAGTTTTGGAACTTTATTATATGTGCTGAAGTGAAATTCAGTATTTTTAAAAAATGAAGCAGAAAACTTGAAAACCCATTTAATAGTTGATATATAATATCCATAGTCTTTAATCAGTTAAGAATTTTCTTTTCCTAATAAAGGCAGTTGGCAATAATTTTGATCACTATTCCTCATGCGGAACAAGTCTATCATAATATAATGTGCTATTTCCATGCTTGTGATTTACAATTGAGTACATTTGGCAGTAATCAGAAAAAATTCAAAAGACATTTTGGGTTGAATGGATAATTATGAAAATCTTCTGTAATTATAAAAGTAAATTGTTGAACAGAAATAACTTAATTCAAAATTCTTTAAATCATTCACTAGTAGTTAAACACCACCAGGCCAAGTGTTTAGAAACTGGCTAGCTGAGAGCAGCTTTAAGATGGCAGAATAGAAGGATGTGGAGCTCACTCTCTCCCACAAACACATCAAAAATACATCTACGTGTGGAACAATTCTCATAGAATACCTACTGAACTCTGGCAGAAGACCTTGTATGAGTGGAACTACAAGGAAAATCATTACCAAACCGAGTAGTAGGGAAAAAAAGAAAAAGGAAATTGGGAGGGAGTGGTGAAAGAGGGTAAGTGTCCTCACCCTGAGAACCCCCTCCAGCAGGGAGTTTAGCTGGGACACAGCAGAGCTTCAGAGGACTGGAGGAGAGCACAGAAGCTGCACTGTGGCAGACAGAATGGAGAGAGGCTGGCACAGGGGTTGTGAGATCACTGGCTCAATATGTGACCTGGCTGGCACTGGCCGGGACTGGTTGCTGGAGCTCAGGCTTTAGAAGATGGACCTGGGGAGAGGACTGGGGTTGACTGTGGAGAGGCAGCCTCAGGAGTTGGAGTGTGGTGCAGGCTGAGGCTGGGAGTATGTGCAAAAGACCCTGGATCCACCATAGAAATCTCCACTGCCAGCACACAGTGGCTGGCCATAGCAGCCTTCTCTGCTATCCCAGAGGGCATTGCTCAGCACCACTGTTAATGCATTCTCACAAAGGGAGGGGTAGGATCCAGAAATAGTCTTCTCAGCTCGTTCTGGAGGGGCACAATTGCTGGTGTGCAGCTCTCAGGTAGAGGCAGGGCTGAAAATTCAACCTATTCCCAACGTTTGCATAACTTGGCAGGTGGAACTGAGATTTGAGTTGAGCCCCTGGTAGCTGTAGCAGATTTGCTCTGCTCATGCCTTTGTGGACAACCAAGCAGAGTACTGGTGCACAGTGAGGGCAGGTCTGGCATTAACAGCAGGTGTGCGTGTGTGAAGGTGGGGCTGGGGCCTGGGTTGACCCTGTGGCTTATGATGGATCTTGATGCGTGACTGCATATGCACTACAGTGGATCCCGATGCCTGACATCAGTGGATCTGCAATGACACCTTTGAGGGTGTGGAGCCTGGGGGAACACCAAGGGTGGGTTGCTGGTGTTCCCATGGCTGAAGTGGGGACAAGGGCAGCATCAACAAACTGTACTTTGTAAACCTGTACAATGAGTGACAGGTGACACTGCAGAGGGCACCTCTAGTGGACAGCTCCTATGGAGGAATACTCAGTGTTTCCTCTCCCAGTGGAAGTACTCCAGTCCCGCCTACCATACACTGCAGCTCAGAAATGGATCTGGCAGCCACTATTCTAACAACATGGAGCAGATCCGGCCCCTGACGGGGCTGTGATAACCACAGAGCAAATAGGAGGCCCAACTCAACATCCAGTGCAGGCTCTGGTCACAACACCAATCACAACCCCAATCAAGGGGCTTACAGCCAGCACACATGGAGGAAAGATGTAGCAGCCATCCATACTAAAAGCAGCCCTTGCAACAAAAATATTAGATGCACAGAGTCTATACAGAGATGCTCCCGCATAAAACAGTCCTTCAAGACCACAGTAGATAACCGTTACTTCTAAATTTATAGAGTCAGAGAAATGTAAGTAAAGTAGCTGAGAAAAAGGTGAGGAACCACTCCTGAAAAAACAATGAAACAGACCTCTATAGTCTACCTGAACCTGAGTTTAAAAAGGCAATGATAAAAGCAGTGAAGGAAATAAGAGAGGCTATAGATAGAAATGCAAAATACTATAAAAAGGAAACAAACTATAAAGAGGAGCCAATTAAAAATCAGGAAACTCAACTGCTGAGATAAAAGCCAAGCTAAAGGCAATCAATAGCAGATGGAATAATGAAGAAGAATGAATAAGTGATTTAGAAGATAGAATAATGGAAATCACCCAATCAGAACAGCAGAAAGAAAAACAAATTTAAAAAATGAAAGCAATATAAGGGACCTATGGGATAACATAAAGCATGCCAATCTACTAATAATAGGGATCCCAAAAGGAGAAGAAAGAGAAAAGGGGAATGAAAAGTATTTGAAGAAATTATAATAGAAAACTTTCCAAACCTAAAGGAAGAAACAAATGTCCAAGTACAGGAAGCAAAGAAGGCCCCAAACAAGAAGAACCCAAACAGACCAACACTAAGACATATTATAATTAAGATGGCCAAAGTTAAAGATAAAGAAATGAATCTAAAGGCAGCAAGAAAAAAACAAAGAGTTAGTTACAAGTTAGTTAGCCCATAAGGCTATCAGCTGATTCTCTACAGAAATGTTACTGGCCAGAAGAGAGTGGCAAGATAAATTCAAACTCCTAAAAGAGAAAAGGCTGAACCTAGAATACTATACCCAGAAAGATTACCATTTAGAACAGAAGGAGAGATACAGAATTTCTCAGACAAGCCAAAACTAAAATAATACAGCAAAACTAAACTATACTAAAAGAAATATTGAAAGGTCTTCTCTAAATAGAAAAGGAGGAATCTATAGAAAAGATAAAATCACAGCTGGAAATGGGGTAACTACAATGAACAGCAAAAGAATAAACATGGAAATGTAAAAGAGGACATCAAAATCATAAAATGTGAGAGAGGAGAGCAAGGATGGGAAGATTTTTTTTTTCCTTAGGATGTGTTTGAGCCTATATGATTACCAGTCTAAAGCAAACACAGTAACAGGTTAACATACTCGAAAAACAGGGTAACCACAAGTAAAAAACATGCAATAGAGTCATAAAAACCAAAAAGAAAAGGAATCAAGCTAATACAAAAGAAAATTATCAAACCACAAAAGGAACGACAAAAACAAGAAGAAAGGAACAAAGAGGAAATATAAAATCAACCGGAAAACAAAGTTTAAAATGGCAATAAACACATATCTATCAATAATTACCATAAATGTCAATGGAGCAAATGCTCCAATCAACAGAGTGGCAGACTGAATAATAAAAGAAGGGTCTACAATATGCTGCCTACAAGAGATCCATTTTAGGATAAAGGACACACATAGATTAAAAGTGAGAGGATATTTCATGCAAATGGAAATGACAAGAAAGTGGGGGTAGCAATACTCATATCAGACAAAATGGACTTTAAAACAAAGGCCATAAAGATAAACGACACTACATAATGATAAAAGGAGCAATATAAGAAGAGGATATTACACTCATTAACATATATGCACCTGATATGGGAGCACTTAAATATATAAAACAAATACTAACAGATATAAAGGGAAAACTTGATGGGAATACAATAATAGTAGGAGACTTTAACATCCCACTAACATCATTGGACAGCTCTTTCAGAAAGAAGATCAATAAGGCAATGGAGATACTAAGTGACACAATAAAACAGTTAGACTTAATCAATATTTTCAGGACATTACATCCCCAAAATACAGAATATACATTCTTTTCAAGCATGCACTGAACATTCTCTAGGATAGACCACAGACTTGGACACAAAAGAAGCCTCAACAAATTTAAGAGGCTAGAAATTATTTCAAGCATCTTTGCTGAACACAATGGCATGGAACTAGAAATCAATCACAGAAAAACAAGGCAAAAATGGCTGCATGGAGACTAAACAACATGTTACTAAAAAACCAATGGGTCAATGATGAACTCAAAGAGGAAATTAAAAAGTACCTTGAGACAAATGAAAATGAAAACACAACCATACAAAATCTATGAGATGCAGCAAAAGGAGTCCTAAGAGTGGAAGTTCACAGCAGTACAGGCCTTCCTCAAAAAACAAGAACAATCTCAAATAAACAACCTAACCTACCACCTAAAAGCATTAGAAAAAGAAGAACAAACAAAACCTAAGGTTATCAGAAGGAAAGAAATAATAAAGATCAGGGAGAAAATAAATAAGATAGAGATTTTTAAAAAAAGTCA